CCCCACCTACCCAGATGGTCATTAGGGCAGAGAACCGGTTGTTAAATTATTTGAATCCCACCACTGGTCTGACCCTACCTTTTTTTTCAAATACTTTACAAATACCTGTTTTTCTTCCCTGGGAGAGAATCAAAAGATTTTGTACCCATTGTGATTGTTTTTGTCTTTGTTTCACATAGCCTCAGATGCAACATATCTTACTACATTTTAGTGTATTTTTGTAGTTGTTATTTGCTGTTTCTAATTTTCTACCCCACCTTGGTCACATGTCAGTTGGGTACAGTGGTGGGTTCCGGATCCCATTCCAACCGTACCGGCAGCATCCACATGGATGCGTGCAGTGTGCGCATGCGTCTTAGCACCTCTGTGAACCTCCGCAACGCTCCAGCTGCTCAGCAGAGCATCACGCAAGCACTGGACGCGCCGTGCACGGAAACACCGAAGACTTAAAAGACCAGTAAGGAGCTTGGGCGGGTTGGTGGGCCCTCCAGAGCACCATACCAGAATGGTATCTGGTACTCCGGGCAGACTCCGGTATGCCCGTACCGGGGTGTATCACCTGCAACCCACCACTGGTTGGGTAGCTATGTATGTTGATTTCATAAATATATAAATAATAAAAAATAGACTGGCAATAAAAGGAGGCTCTAGCAAGAGAGAGGCTGGAGGGAAAGGAAATGGGGAAGAAATTTCAGTAGAGATGTTCATTCTTGAAAAATGATAAAAGGGGTATCTCTTTACCTTGACTCCTCGTGGACCTGGGTAACCAACTGGTCCTGCTGCACCAGATGGACCCTGAAGGAGAAAGACATTTGAAACAAGTCTGTCTGGCAGCCTCCCTGCCCAACCTTGCTTCAATCTTAAAGACCATAAATCCCCCTATTTCTGAAGGGTTTTTTTGGGGGGGTGTATTGGGAAGAAGATGGAGGACTGGGGGTGGGGAAACTTCCTTTTCTAAATTATGGACTTTAGATGACTCTATAGCAAGCTTCTTTTTCACCTGAGTTCCTTTCTCTCCAGCTGGCCCTTCTCTTCCAGGATGACCCTGAAAAGCAACAGAAGAGACAGTCTTGTGAAGTAAGTGTATTATGAATGCTTGCTTAAAGGTACTTCACCACAATGAAAACAGTGCCCTGGGAAAATATATTGGGTATTAGAAAAGAGAAGGCAGGGAGCTAAGTTTTCTTTTGGACATAAAGTAGTATTCCAAGGGTGATCTCTATATGTTTACATCATTCACCTCTCCCCAGATATTAGTGCTACTGCAAAAAAAAGTTAAGTGTCCTGGTTTCATCTTTAAGTACTATCTTCATGAAGATTTTAATAATGTTGGCATTTACCGGAGGTCCATCCATTCCAGCCAGTCCTGGTATTCCTGGTTTTCCTGGTGGACCCTGTGAGAAGAAGGCGCAGGGAGATATTCAGAAAGCTGGGTGGGACAATCTGAATTGTGACAATGGATTAAGTGACAGTCCTATCAGTTCTCACATCTCCTCTATCAAATATATGTCTAAGTGTATGCTGACATAATGGGAATAGACATGGAGAGCCCCTGGCAGATTTCTGAGGAATATGTAGCAGATTTAAGATGCACATTTCCTTCCAAACTACAGAAATAAAATCAGCAACAAAATGTAATCCTCTCCCACCATATATTACACAACTGAAATAAAGAAATATTGGAGCATTATTAGGTGGAAATGCAAATCACATTGATCTTGGTGCTTAACAAAATTCCATGCACAGCAGTCTTTTGTATTAGATCCCTGTGGTAGAACTCTGATGCCTGCTGCTATAGCTACCCTGAAAATTGGGATTTTCAGCCTCGTTCTGATTCTATGCCTCAGCTAGACACTCCCTAATTCCAACTCACCTTTTCTCCTGGAAGTCCAATGGGGCCCTGAGGACCAGGCAAGCCCTAAGGAAGAAAAACCAAACAGAGTAGAGAAATGTGACAATTTACAAGAAGAATTTCTATTAGTATTATTTTGTAGGGATACTTAATGTTTTCAGAGCCCCAGGACTATCCAGGAAATGTCCTTTCAGTTCAAATACACTATATTGCCAAAAGTATTTGCTCACCCATCCAAATAATCAGAATCAGGTGTTCCAATCACTTCCATGGCCACAGGTGTA